GCGACGGCAAAGAATACTGTCGCAAAAGGTTTTTTTCTCAACTATGCCAATATCATTTGCGACGGCAATGTGGTGCTGTCTCAAAAAAAAAAAAACCCTATAATAAAATTATTAAAAATATGAAAATTACCTGTATTAAATGAAAAATAACTGAAAAAGAAACCAATAATTACATAATAATATAAAAATTCCAGTATAAAAATAACAATTCATCCATAATAAAAATATTCTTGCATTCATAACAACACATCAACAAAATTACCCCACTATATAATGTTACATAATACAAATATAATGTTTAAATACATAATATTGTTCACAATTCAAAATAATGTAAATCAACAAAAGTTTTCCTCATGATTATTCCGTGGGTAACAAAAACAAAAATTAGTCACATTCTTCACACGCCTGCACTCCACAAGAAGCAAACTCCGCAAACTGCTACATGGGAAATATCTGAAAATAAAAAATAAAAATAATTAATGAAAATATAATTATGTGTTAATATTTTAATTACAAAAAAATAGAAAAAATTAACTACTATATAATTTTGGCTAGATAGAAATTCGACTATAACTCCCAAACTGGGAACCCGATTAGAGTCCCGTCTTCTCCCACAAGTCTCTCATGCCTAGGCAGTCATGTGTGCCAAGTTTTGTGCTAAACCGACGCCGTTTGGTGATTTTGGGGCGTCAACACCTCGAATTGAAATTTCTTAAGGAACTAGTTTGTCTAGACCAAAATCCGGCTCTAACTCCCAAACCGGGAACCAGATTCGAGCCCCGTCTTCTCCCACAAGTCTCTGATGCCAAGGCGGTCATGTGTGCCAAGTTTCGTGCTAATCCGACCCCGTTTGGTGATTTTGGGGCGTCAACACCTCGAATTCAAGTTTTTTAATGAACTAGTTTGCGTAGAGTGAAATCCGACTTTAACTCCCAAACCGGGAACCCGATTGGAGTCCCGTCTTCTCCCACAAGTCTCTCGTGCCTAGGTGATCATGTGTGCTAAGTTTCACGCTAATCCGATGCCGTTTGGTGATTTTGGGGTGTTAATACCTCGAATTCAAGTTTTTTAATAAACTAGTTTGCCTAGAGTGAAATCCGACTCTAACTCCCAAACCGGGAACCCGATTGGAGTCCCGTTTTCTCACACAAGTCTCTCGTGCCTAGGTGGTTGTGTGTGCCATGTTTCATGCTAATTTGACCCCGTTTGGTGATTTTGGGGCGTCAACACCTCGAATTCAAGTTTTTTAATGAACTAGTTTGCATAGAGTGAAATCCGACTCTAACTCCCAAACCGGGAACCCGATTGGAGTCCCGTCTTCTCCCACAAGTCTCTCGTGCCTAGGCGGTCGTGTGTGCCAAGTTTCGTGCTAATCTGACGCCGTTTGGTGATTTTGGGGTGTCAACACCTCGAATTCAAGTTTTTTAATGAACTAGTTTGCCTAGAGTGAAATCCGACTCTAACTCCCAAACCGAGAACCCAATTGGAGTCCCGTTTTCTCCCACAAGTCTCTCATGCCTAGGTGGTCGTGTGTGCCATGTTTCGTGCTAATCCGACCCCGTTTGGTGATTTTGGGGCGTCAACGCCTCGAATTCAAGTTTCTTAAGGACTAGTTTGCTCAGAGTGAAATTTGGCTCTAACTCCCAAATAGGGAACCCGATTCAAGCCCCGTCTTCTCCCACAAGTCTCTCATGCCTAGGCAGTCGTGTGTGCCAAGTTTCGTGCTAAACTGACGCCGTTTGGTTATTTTGGGGCGTCAACACCTTAAATTTAAATTTCTTAATGAACTAGTTTGCTTAGACCAAAATTCGGCTCTAACTCCCAAATCGGGAACCCGATTGGAGTCCCGTCTTCACCCACAAGTCTCTCCTACCTAGGCGGTCGTGTGTGCCACGTTTCGTGCTAAACCGATGCTGTTTGGTGATTTTGGGGCGTCAACACCTCGAATTCAAGTTTCTTAAGGAACTAGTTTGCCTAGAGTGAAATCCGGCTCTAACTCCCAAACCGAGAACCCGATTGGAGTCCCATTTTCTCCCGCAAGTCTCTTGTGCCTAGGCGGTCGTGTGTGCTAAGTTTCGTCCTAATCCGACGCTGTTTGGAGATTTTGGGGCGTCAACACCTTGAATTCAAATTTCTTAATAAACTAGTTTGCCTAGACCGAAATCCGGCTCTAACTCCCAAACTAGGAACCCGATTGGAGTCCCGTCTTCTCCCACAAGTCTCTCGTGCCTAGGCGGTCGTGTGTGCCAAATTTCATGGTAATTCGATGCCGTTTGGAGATTTTGGGGCATCAACACCTCGAATTGAAATTTCTTAATGAATTAGTTTGCCTAGACTGAAATCTGGCTCTAACTCCCAAACCAGGAATCTGATTGGAGTCCCATCTTCTTCCATAAGTCTCTCGTGCCTAGGCGGTCAAGTGTGCCAAGTTTTGTGCTAATCCGACCCCGTTTGGTGATTTTGGGGCGTCAACGCCTCGAATTCAAGTTTTTTAAGGAAACTAGTTTGCCTATAGTGAAATCCGGCTCTAACTCTCAAACCAGGAACCCGATTCGAGCCCCGTTTTCTTCCACAAGTCTTTCGTTCCTAGGTGGTCGTGTGTGCCAAGTTTCGTGCTAAATCGACGCCCTTTGGTGATTTTTGGGCGTCAAAACCTCCAATTCAGATTTCTTAATGAACTAGTTTGCTAAGACAGAAATTCGGCTCTAACTCCCAAACCGGGAACTCGATTGGAGTCCTGTCTTCTCCCACAAGTCTCTCATGCCTAGGCGGTCGTGTGTGCCAAGTTTCGTGCTAAACCGACGTCTTTTGGTGATTTTGGGGCGTCAACACCTCCAATTCAAATTTCTTAATGAACTAGTTTGCCTAGACTGAAATTCGGCTCTAACTCCCAAACTAGGAACCGGATTGGAGTCTCGTCTTCTCCCACAAGTCTATTGTGCTAGGCAGTCGTGTGTACCAAGTTTCGTGCTAAACCGACGTCGTTTGATGATTTTAGGGCGTCAACACCTTAAATTCAAATTTCTTAATGAATTAGTTTGCCTAAACCGAAATTCGGCTCTAACTCCCAAACCGAGAACCTGATTGGAGTCCCATCTTCTCCCACAAGTCTCTCGTGCCTAGGCGGTCGTGTGTGCCAAGTTTTGTGCCTAGCCTCTATCCTTTGGGGCTGTGTACAGTTAATTTATGGTTATTCTTAGCTTAGAATGCAAAGATACATTTTATGCTTGATCTTCTGGTAGTGGTGTATATGGATTCTTATCTCCTATAGATTTCCTAAATGTCCGATGGCCACTCGATGCATTAGGAACCTATGATAGTTAATATCTAATGTGTTAATCATATTCGAATTTTATTATACATATGTACATATATGTTGTGTGAAAATTTAACTATCAAACAATTTAATTTATATCAAACTTGTCTGTTGGGATCCACACTTGCCCCCGTTAATACAAAGGCCATCATCTCAGCTCTAATCTGCTGTAAATGTGTAAAGAACTTTGCTCGCATCTCCTCCTTCAGCTCCTCCCTCAACTCATCCTTTAGCTCCGCACGAACCTGCTAGGTGATCTAAACAATAGTCGATGGCTGGGGTGTTAACTGTGATGGCCCCATCCCATTTTTATACACCGTTCTCTGAGGCATAGTTCTCCTGTATGTGCGACAATATCCATGTCTGTCATGACCTATCAACTCATGAAAAATAGCATTCCTAGCCTCCAAAGTTTGACAATCCTCAAGTAGCATGGAGAGTTGACGATTAAACTCATCTTGTATTAAATAAGACATACAAGTATATGTCAAATTAAGATGGTTGACACACAAAAAATAAAAAATAAACTTTAAATACAATGTTAGATGTTTGGAAACTACCAAGGTCTGGATAACCTCAGGGTCATCTGCTCTACGTGTCATAAGCCAAACATTTATCTTATCAATAGACTCCCCTTTATTGGTCATCTAGATTTTTTTAGAAATATGAAAATAAGAATCCAAATAATTTGCAAATATACAATGTTTATTTATAGACAAAAATAAAACAATAAAATATAAACCTCATGCTGTATCTGAGCGAAAGTAGTACGCTCTATGGTATGAGCTATGCCGTGAGCTCGCCGATTTTTAGCATTCCTAGTTGCAATTTTCTCTAACAGATTCAACAAATGTAAGTATATAACTATGATTTGTATGTTTAAATATCATACATATAACTTATTTGTATACCTCAACATCGGAAGCACGCCAATACTCCACAAGTTCTTCTCACTGTTTTTGCACAATGTGCAAAGGAACATCATCCTTCAAATTAGGATAAGAACTTCTAGGCTTGAAATAGTCTTAATCTTATTCTTGTGATCCTTCCATATGCTGTTGCAGGTTTTCATGTAGATTGGCTTATACTCCTCTAGACATATATTCAAATTGTCCTATAAAACACAATTTCAATGTTTAAATAATAATAACACAATTTCTGAATTTGAATTTTTGGACAAAAATATACTTTTACCTTCACATCCTTCTAGATAGCATCAAGAATATCATTAGGCACAGTGTTCCAGTTAAGAAAAGTAAGAGGAACAATGTTACCATTCCGCACAATAATGCCAAGTTGAGTGGTTGACTTAAACACGTTATCTCCTATTGGGTAGTAATTTTCATCAAATTGTATGTCCAATTTTGTACCAATACCCCACTCTCTAATGCCCTTGGCACATCCTGTACCACGCCTAGTCAAGGTTGATGAAGAACTAATATGACCTGCGAGATACAATAACAATAAACAATATGCAATGATAATAAACAAATACAAATTTAAATAATGTCAATACAAATCGAATTCTTATACTTGAGGTGGGCTATGAAGAAGTCGAAGGGTCTGGAAAATACAATGAAAATAAACAAGTTATATATAATGAGAATAAATAAATGTATATTTAAATAATTTTCATACAAACCAAAGCAAATTTATATACCTGTGGATGGCTCATAAGATAATGACTCTAGTCGGGATGATAGCTACTATGGTGCCACTGATGGTGGACACACCGATGGTAGGTGTGAAGGCTGAGTACATGATAGCTGCTGTGGTGCCACTGATGGTGGGTGATGCAGTGGTACTAATGGCCCCTCTGATGGTGGTCCCTGGGATGCCTCCTCTAATGGTGGTGCCAGTAATAGTGGTCGCTGTGATGGCTGGTCAGATGGTGGTGGCACTAATGGCCCCTCCGATGGTGGTCGATGTGATGTCTCCTCTGATGATGGTGCTACTGATGTCCTGTTATGTACCACATCGGACATCATGCGCAGGGGATGATCAGGCTTCCTCTTCCTTCCCATAATAATCTGCAAGCAATATAACATTAATTGACATTAGAAACATAGAGAATGGTTTTGAATCAACTATAATATGGCATTAATTGAACTAATACAATTACAAAGACAAAGTAAATTAAAAAACTGATGATTAACTACAACCTTGGCCTTAATTTAATTACTGATGTTGATTAAATATCAGTCTATTTGAACATCAACTGTTTCCCCTTCTGCGGCTTCCCTTACCTAACCAACTTCTTCATCACGAAGCATTATATTTTATTCCAATTGTTGGCTCATATATGGCTCGATTTGTGGATCAGTCGAACTAATATCAAATAAACCTCTTTGAGACATTTTCACCACCACTTGCCAGTATGGTTCTAACGGTCTGCAACATACCAAACTTGCTCTGCTTGGAATGCCAAGATGAAAAGTTCATTGGTAATTCGATCATCTTGGTACAATAAATGATTGAAGTTAACCAATGTGAAATTGAAGACATTTTCTTTCTTTCCGTGAATGTTGTCAATCCAATCACACTTAAACAACACATGTTTCTTCTCATTGGAATATGGAATCTCAACAATATCTGTCAATTATCCATAATAGTACACAGACGCCAGTATGGTTCTAACGGTCTGCAACATACCAAACTTGCTCTTCTTGGAATGGCAAGATGAAAAGTTCATTGGTAATTCGATCATCTTGGTACAGCAAATGATTGAAGTTGACCAATGTGAAATTGAAGACATCTTCTTTCTTTCCGTGAATGTTGTCAATCCAATCACACTTAAACAACACATGTTTCTTCTCATTGGAATATGGAATCTCAACAATATCTGTCAATTATCCATAATAGTACACAGACCCCACACGAGGATTCTTGTCTTTTCGACTAGCATAACTTATTGTATCTACCTTCAAAGCTAAACCACAATTTTGTGTGGCTCGACGGTCATCCATGGCCTTTACTCGATACTGAAACCCATTCATTATATACCCGTTGAACCTCCTTGCCAAGTTATGAGGACCATTTGCCAATAGAATAGTCCCTTCAAAAAATGTGACATCAATAGTCCTTCGCAAAGTTTGGACCTATTTAAAACAAAAATGTAAATTTTAAAATGTAGTTCAACTTAAGTAACTAGAATCTGTGGACTTAAATACATACATGTTCCTTGAACCAAATGTGAAAAATTTTAAAATGTTCACGCTGAAGCTGATGATCGTCGACACGAAGCATTTTGAGCTTAAGTACTTCAAGGTGTTTGTTGTGTAGATTGAAAATTTATCAATACAAAAAATTTGGTTCAAAATTCAATAAAACATAATAAAATATTGAGTGAGTGACATAACCTACTTTATGAATGGTTAAACCGCGCTTGTATTGAATAAGATATACCGATGAGCTTGTACCCAAGAAGTATTATCAAGATAAAAGCTTGTGTTTTCACCAACAGCATGACCTAGATTATCATCACCACTATAGTTCCTCACGGGTCGACTAGATTTGGTTTCCACATCATTGAGATATTGTGAAAAAAAATTCATGCATTCTTCTATAAGATATCCTTTAGCAATTGAACATTCACGATGAGCTCTATTACGCACATATTGCTTCAAAGTAAGAAGATACCTCTCAATTGGATACATCCATCGAAACTGAATCGCTCCAGTCAATAATGCTTCATCAGCTAGATGTATAGGCCAGTGATCCATTATATCAAAAAAAGTTAGAGGAAATATTTTCTCTAGATGACAAAGTGTTACGGCAATACGATCTTGAATATATTGCAAATCCGTCGCACGATTCACTTTGGAACACAATTGTCTAAAGAAATTGCTCAATTCAATCAAGGGTTCAATTACATTCTTCGGTAACGATCTTTGAATAGCCAATGGAATAAGTTGTTGCATCAGAATATGACTATTGTGGCTCTTAAGACCCCCAATACTTCTATCATGTGAATGCACACGATGTGATATATTAGATGAATACCCGTCGAGAACTCTTACTTCCTTCAACACTTTCAAGAACAAATATTTCTCATCCTTGGTCATCATGAATTGTGCTGGTGGTAAATAAGCTTTATTCGACCCTCTTAATTGCAAATGTAGGGGTTTTCTAATATTCATATCTTGTAAATTACGCCGAGCATTAACACCATCCTTCTATTTTCCTACAACTTCTAATATTGTCCACAACACATTGTCACCAACATTCTTCTCTGTATGTATCACATCGAGGTTGTGTCTTATTAGATTGTGCTCCCAATATGGCAGTTTATAAAATATACTCTTTTTCTTCCAACTATGGGTGCGATGTCCAGCTTTCTCCTTCTCTACTTGTCTCCTATGCCTCTCCTTAAGGTCATCCCTCTTGTATTGGGTTAAAATACCCTCAAATTCTAATTGTAACAACATCTCAGTTCCAGATAACAATTTTGGTTTGAGTCTGACTTCCCGAATTTATGGCTACTAGGTAAAAATCTGCGATGACCCAAGTATGATTGTTTCTTACTATGCTTCGACTAACACGATGTAGTTTCCTTATTGCAACAAGGACATGCATATTCGCCTTTAGTGCTCCATCCTGACAAGTTTGCATATACAGGAAAATCACTAATTGTCCACAGTAAAGCTGCATGCATTTGAAACATTTGATTTGTTGATGCATCAAATGTGGAGACACCGTCATTCCATAGTTCTTTCAACTCCTTAATCAACGGTTGCATATACATATCAATCTTGTCACCAGGTCCTTTCGGGCCGTCAATAAGCACAAATAAAATTAGAAATGGTTGCTGAAATGCACATCCATGGTGGCAAGTTGTATGGAATGAGCACAACAGGCCAAGTGCTATGAACTATGTTCATCGTCCTGAATGGGTTAAAACCATCAGATGGTAAGCCAAGTCTTACACTTTGGCAATCTTTACTAAAGTCAATATTCCGACGATCAAAATCTTTCCATGCAAGGGAGTCAGCAGGATGCCTAAAGACACCGTCATTAGTTCGTTCTTCTGCATGCCATCTCATTAACTTGGCCGTTTTGATTGACATAAACAACCTCTGCAACCTTGGCTTAAAAGAGAAACACTTCATCTGTTTTGCAGCTATTCGTTTACCACCTTTGTTAGGACCATTTGAACCACCATCACCATTTGATTTGCATCTAGAACTATTTCATATGACACATTTATCAAGATTGGCGTCCTCATTTCGAAACAACATGCAATTGTTGGGACATGCATCCCACGTCTCATATGTGAAGCCCAAATCTGTTGTGACCTTTTGAGCTTTATAATATGAGTTCGAGAGTTTCACACCCAACGGGAACACCTCATTCAATAACTCAAGCAACATGTCAGCAGACTTGTCTGTCCACTAATTAATCACCTTCAAATGTAGAAGTCGAACAATGAATGACAAAGATGTGAACTTCTGAAAACCCAGATACAATTCACTTTGTGCATCTTGAAAAAGTTTGAAATACTTTGCAGTCTCTACATTTGAACCGAGCTGGGGTTCAGATGTATAAGGATCAAGCCTTGTGGTTCATTACCCTCAACACTTGTACCAGCATGTAGATTTCCCATAGCCCTTTGTATCATTCCAACCATATCATCCCCAATGTCTAAATTAGCCAATGTTTCATTCTCTCGATTACCATGCAGAGATACATAAGATTTCCCATGATTAATCCAATGTTTGTACTTTTAAAAAAACCATTCAAAATCAGATGCTCCCGTACACTCTATCGTACAAGATGGTATCGATTCTCACACTTCCTATACAGACAACTAATCATCGAACCTTCAACCCTATTGGTGTAGGCAAACACAAGGAATTCAACAATCCCATTAATGAATTCCCTCGACATCCTATTTGGCAAATCAATCTAACTCTTATCCATCATCTGTACTTCCCTCAAATATCGCTTCTGCACACATCTACAAAAATATCTCATCAAAGTAACTCTAAATATAATACCTACGTATTCATGCACCATGATACCTATCCGTCCAATTTCTCTCAAATAGGTAGGTGGTCTTATCCCAGTTAGTTATTTACCGATTTGATGGGAGAACATAAAAAATGAAATACTTATACAACAACACATGGGACATAAAAATGCTTTCAAACACCAAGTATTCCATCACTAATTCAATATGTCTAGAACATCAAGAGATGCACAGAACAACATAGGCTTTAAGAGCCAAGAAAAAAAAATACAGACAAAAATAATTACACCCTCATCTCTCAAAACAAGTAGTACACTTCCATTCCATAACAATGAATTTATCTATTCATTAAATTTTAAGGATCTAAAATGAATTGATTTGAGACGGAATATGAAGATCATATTTCTTCATATTGTCTTTACAAGTATCTTATTTCGTGTAGTAATCTTATCCAGTAACTTATTTAATTTAGTGATGGTGCTTAACTAGACACGAATTACAGGCCTTCACAATGATAAGAAAGCAAGAAGGGCTTAAAGGGTACTGGAAAGGCAACCTTCCTCAGGTCCCCTGCACCCTTCTTATTTTTCTTCTTCTTTTTTTTTTTTTGATAAATAAAATTTATTAAAGAAAGAGCATCAAGGAGATGCTAAAGAATTACAAAAATCACGAGCCCCAAAAGAGGGGAAAAGAAATTAGCCAATCACATTTACTTTCCCATTGATAAGGTTTTTTCTTATACTAATCTATTCCCATAGGTTTTTGTTGAGTTTCAGTTTCTAAACCTTTTCAATTCCAGGTGATACGTGTCATACCTTATAGTGTAGTCCAGCTGTTTGCATATGGAACCAACAAGGTAATAGCAAAACTATTTAATAAAAATTTCTAACACTCCATCTTATATGTATCTATGGTCTTTACTGCTTCAAACATTTGATTAGTATTTTACCTACAAATTTCTAGAAACTTCTTAGGGGAAAGGATGGTGAGCTCTCTGTTATCGAAAGACTCACTGCTGGTGCTTTTGCTGGCATGACTTCAACTTTTGTAAGTAAAATAGCAAATGAGATCGTTTCTGAACTTAACTTTATGGGTGATTATCTGTATTGGATCTTGTATTTTCTATATCAGTACCGTATATGTATGTCTATTAACAAATATTAAACCCTATAATCCTTGCTATTTGTTTCTTTATAGGTAACATACCCTTTTGATGTTTTGAGGTTAAGATTAGCTGTTGAGCCTAGGTATAAAACAATGTCTGAGGTAAGACTGACCAATTTGAATTGTATTTCTGAAGGAGTTTCTCGACATATCATGGGTTTTATTGGATTGTTTTCAGGTTGCCTTGAACATGCTAAGAAAGGACAGAGTTGGGTCATTTTATACTGGCCTTGGACCTTCTCTTATTGCAATAGCACCTTATATTGCTGTGAACTTTTGCATTTTTGACTTGTGAGCTTACTCTTTCAACAATATATTTTTCTCTATTGTTTATTAAATGATATAAAAATATAATATTTGTATATCTTAAATTTGGATCTATATATTAGGATGAAGAAGTCTTTGCCAGAGAAGTATCGAAAAAGGACTGAAACATCTATGGTAACAGCTTTGCTGTCAGTTACTCTTTCCACGGTTATGTGCTTTCCTTTGGATACAATGAGAAGGCAAATGCAAATGAAGGATACACCTTACAAGACAGTTTTGGATGCCTTTTCAGGTAACTCAATTCTTTTAATTATCAACTGTTGTAAACCAACAGAAATTAATGCAAATCGTATCACAATAAATCTTGGTTAATTCTATCTATAACATATCCAAAATTATAAGCATTTCATTTATGCTTTCATGTCTTTAGTAAAGCAGAGGAAGCCTAAGTCATTTCTTTGCGTAAAGAAAGTATTTATGTACCATGCACATACATTCAGTTAGCTATTATCAATAAACTAAACACAATAGAAGATCTCTCACGCCTTTCATCTCAGATGATCCCCATCCCCTCTCACCTATCCCTCTTTCTTCCACTCTTTCTGATTTACATGTTCAACTTTCAACAACTCGAGTGCATCTTCTAAGGAGACATATGTAATACATATATATATATATATATATATAGAGAGAGAGAGAGAGAGAGAGAGCATACAGGCGTCACTCGCTGAGTGAGTGAGAGAGGAGCGCTTGAGATTGACTGAGCTCGCGCGAGAGAAAGATAGAGACGTCGCACCACCGCTAGCTGTCGTTGAGAGCGATTGAGCCTGCTCGCTGTCGTCGCTCGTCGAGAGAGAAATCGTCGGTGAACACTCGAGCTTGTTTGGGGATTTTGGGGGAAAAAGATCTTGTTTCAAAGATTTAGGGATTTTGGATCAAAATAATCGAGCGCAAAACAATGGGAGAAGCGGGACAAAAAAATTTTATTACTTTTTGAGACAGTATATTTAAACAGTCACAAATGATAAATAAAAATAGGTAAAACCACGTCGTTTTACTAATGTTTTTTTTTTTTTTGCGATGGACATTTGTCGTTGCAAATTGTCCACTATTTGCGAAAGCAAATTTCTCCCGTCTCAAAAAAATTCTTTTTGCGACGGTACACAAAGGCATCGCGAATACTTTCGTCTTTATCACACCTTTTTGTGTATGTTTATTAGCGACGGGATGACTACCGTCGCAAAAGCTATTTATTTGCGACGGTTTAAACTGCCATCGCAAAAGATCATTTTTTGCGACGGGAAACACGTCGTCGCAAAAAGTTCTGTGTTTTATACTGCCTTTTCTTGTAGTGTCTCTCTAGTCTGAGCAGGAATTGGAGATGTCCAATTTTAATGGGCCACTGAACTAATTTGATAATCTAATTCGTTTGTCTTGTATGTTAATTATTCATGAAAACAAAAATTAAGTTGATTGGATAATCATAATCAGATAATTTTATCATACTTGTTTTTTAAAATTAAAATTAAAAATAGCCATGTATGATTTTAAAAATAAACCATCTATTAAGATTGGATTCTTATCTTTCTGTAACAGGTTGTTCGGGATTAATCTATTATGCCGGTGCCCTCCTACTGAGTTTCCCTGTTTGGTTGTGTGGTCAAAAATCAACACCCACACCCATGTTCTTGAGATGATTCATATCTTAGAAGCCGAATCTTAGTTGTACCTCATGTGTGAATTGTATTAGGATTTTGTATATAAGATCATACATATTTCGCTAACTTTGTTTTGTAACTATTCACGGGACGTCGGTAAACAAGTAAATTTTTATACTTTAGTATCCCACTTGTATATATTTTTCTTACTATGTTTAGCATTCTATCATGATGCTCTGTGCTTACTTGATATAGCTGTATAAATGCCGGTAGATGGAGGTTGCGTAGCTTTATTTGGAATGATGTTGATCTTTCATATTTGTAACCTCAATTTTTTTGGGTTTTACATCTTCAAAACTCTTTCAAAATTATATGAAATCAAATTATTCCAAAATGAATGACATAGTTTATATTTGTATGCTTCACATAGTAAATTGTAGGATTTATTTAATAACCGAAACATGAACATATATAAAAAAAAAAAAAAAAAACTAGCATACAGGCGTCACTCGCTGAGTGAGTGAGAGAGGAGCGCTTGAGATTGACTGAGCTCGCGCGAGAGAAAGATAGAGACGTCGCACCACCGCTAGCTGTCGTTGAGAGCGATTGAGCCTGCTCGCTGTCGTCGCTCGTCGAGAGAGAAATCGTCGGTGAACACTCGAGCTTGTTTGGGGATTTTGGGGGAAAAAGATCTTGTTTCAAAGATTTAGGGATTTTGGATCAAAATAATCGAGCGCAAAACAATGGGAGAAGCGGGACAAAAAAATTTTATTACTTTTTGAGACAGTATATTTAAACAGTCACAAATGATAAATAAAAATAGGTAAAACCACGTTGTTTTACTAATGTTTTTTTTTTTTGCGATGGACATTTGCCGTTGCAAATTGTCCACTATTTGCGAAAGCAAATTTCTCCCGTCTCAAAAAAATTCTTTTTGCGACGGTACACAAAGGCGTCGCGAATACTTTCGTCTTTATCACACCTTTTTGTGTATGTTTATTAGTGACGGTTTAAACTGCCATCGCAAAAGATCATTTTTTGCGACGGGAAACATGCCGTCGCAAAAAGTTCTGTGTTTTATACTGCCTTTTCTTGTAGTGTCTCTCTAGTCTGAGCAGGAATTGGAGATGTCCAATTTTAATGGGCCACTGAACTAATTTGATAATCTAATTCGTTTGTCTTGTATGTTAATTATTCATGAAAACAAAAATTAAGTTGATTGGATAATCATAATCAGATAATTTTATCATACTTGTTTTTAAAAATTAAAATTAAAAGTAGCCATGTATGATTTTAAAAATAAACCATCTATTAAGATTGGATTCTTATCTTTCTGTAACAGGTTGTTCGGGATTAATCTATTATGCCGGTGCCCTCCTACTGAGTTTCCCTGTTTGGTTGTGTGGTCAAAAATCAACACCCACACCCATGTTCTTGAGATGATTCATATCTTAGAAGCCGAATCTTAGTTGTACCTCATGTGTGAATTGTATTAGGATTTTGTATATAAGATCATACATATTTCGCTAACTTTGTTTTGTAACTATTCACGGGACGTCGGTAAACAAGTAAATTTTTATACTTTAGTATCCCACTTGTATATATTTTTCTTACTATGTTTAGCATTCTATCATGATGCTCTGTGCTTACTTGATATAGCTGTATAAATGCCGGTAGATGGAGGTTGCGTAGCTTTATTTGGAATGATGTTGATTTTTCATATTTGTAACCTCAATTTTTTTGGGTTTTACATCTTCAAAACTCTTTCAAAATTATATGAAATCAAATTATTCCAAAATAAATGACATAGTTTATATTTGTATGCTTCACATAGTAAATTGTAGGATTTATTTAATAACCGAAACATGAACATATATATAAAAAAAAAAAAAAAACTCATATCATGGTTTAGTAGAGGTCGATCTTTGATCGGGTAAACAGGGGTGCTCAATTAATGACTTCCTCCCTCTCATACCTAAGATTTTGAGCCAAACATCTTTAGTTACGACAAACAATGGCTTTGCAACGAGTCACGGGTTTCTTAATTTTTTCAAAAATATTAGGTGGCGACTTTAAAATCTAGTGACGTACCCATTCTTGGCAAAAATATTTGTATTAAAACGGATTTTTCATAAAAGTTGACAAATCTAAACTCTCATCTATGTTCTATATTGCACTTGAAAGACTGAATCAAAGAAATCAAGAGTTCAAACTATTAATGTGCATAGGTACCCTGGACATGTTACAAATATCTATTTCATTTCTGGTTATGTGCACCACGATCTCATCAACTGCGATAGAAAGTTATAATCAATTTTTTTTTTCCTCTTTGATTTAATTGATTTGTATAACCTAATCTATGCTTATCAATTGAATAAGAATTTCATGACTTCTCTCCTTAAAAAAATAAAAATAGAAAAAATAAGGAAAAGAAGCAGAGATCATTGATATTAACAATATTTTTTTGGTGTTGCAGCGACATGCAATAAAAATAAAATATAAAAAAATAAAGAAGAAGAAGAAAGAGAGATATTAAAAAAAGAAAAAACAAACATAGGTTATGGAAAATAAATACTATTAAGGAGAAATTTACAATGTGCATCATTCCAAATGGTGCACATTGTAAAAAAGTTATGATTTTTAATGATGAACATTATGATTATTTGTGATGTGTATTATGACATTTTGTAGTAAAGTTATAAATAGAGAATTTATGATGTGCAGCCTAAAGTTAGGAATGATAATGTTATGACATTTTGAGATTTTATTACGACATTTTTCAGTGAAAAAAAAGTTATGACTTTTGTAGTGAAAAAGTTATGACATTTTGAGTTTAACTTATGAAATTTTGTGAAAAAATTATGAAAGGCATATCGTATGCACCTTTTTTAGGGTGCACATGGTAACATCTCCCTACTATTAATATTAGTATAAGCCAATTATTTTCAGGACCTAATCCCCAATACCAGACTTTTACATCCAAATTGAATTAAATTAAGGAAGTTTCTCTCTAGTCTGAGCAGGAATCGGAGATGTCCAATTTTAATGGGCCACTAAACTAATTTGATAATCTAATTCGTTTGTCTTGAATGTTAATTATTCATGAAAACAAAAATTCAGTTGGTTCGATAATTATAATTAGATAATTTTATCATACTTATCTTAAAAATTAAAATTAAAAGTAGTCAAGTATGATTTTAAAAATAAACCATCTATTAATAATAAACAATTTAAATTATCCAATTAAAACGTTTAATAAACTCATAAACTGAGTGCTCGTGGGGCATGTGGGTTTGGGTGAGGTGCGGTTATTTTAACCACAAAAAGACAAAATATACTTTTTAGTCCCAGGCTTAAAATTGTTACATCCAAATCATAATCATTATATTTTATTTTTTTTTCAAAAGTCAAAAATACCAAAAAATTCATCCCAAACGAGACTATTTTTGTCCCATGTTAAAATAGCTAAAAAATTAAAAAGTCAACTCACATCCCAAACTAATCCTAAACTAAATTTCTATGGTACATATATTTTGACGGGAGAGAAGCTAATTCTTTTAAATTAATAATAATACTTGATAAGTTGATAATTATATTTTTGTGCAATTTATTGAGCCTTGGTTTGGTTTTCATGTTGGGACTAAATAAGTACACAAAGACAAAAAAAAGTCACAAAATCACAAAATGACAAAACATGTGATTTATGATGCAAAATTATCAAACTAATCCATATACAAATAAAAAATAAAAAAAGCGTCATTTTCAAGTTGAGGATAGTTTTGTCATTTTAATGTAAAAAAGTCAAAAAAAATTATAAAAAATAAAAAATCTCAAACTAAAAAAATCAAAAAAAAATTAAAAAACCAACATTACCAAACGACCCCGTTTCCAATAAAGGCACAAGAAGATTCGCGCTACATATATCCACTCAACATTGGCACAATTGAGGTGAATATTCTAGTAAGATTGGATATAATCAAACCATTTAGTTATGACTTTAAATGACAAAGTAAATCCCAACCATCCTTTTTAGATTAAGGCCTCCTTTGGAAAATCTCTTTTTTAGTCAAAAAGTCAAAAAATTATTAAATTAATTAAAAAGTTAATAATTCATACAAAAAAATTAAAATTTCTCTTTTCTCTTTTCTCTTTACTTTTTGCACATCTTTTCGTAAAAAGTCAAAAAGTCATCCTAAACATACTAGTTTTTTTTAACTCATATTTTAATCAAATAATTAAAAAATTACTAAATTAACCTATTTCCAAATGAGACCTAAATAATAATTAGTAAATTATTGAAAATCTACATGAATTGGTGACATGGTACACCATGACCTCACTCCTTCCCTGGAA